ATACCCCTAATACAAATATTAATTATCCTAATAAAAAATTACCAACTTTCCTTTGCAAAATCTTAGAACTCAAATGGTATAAGGAGGTTTAAGAACTTGTTTCCTAAAAAATCACTCAAAACTTTCAATATCTTAAACAGTGAAATGTGAAATGACAAAAAACATTAAAGAAATAAATACATAAAGAATAGAAAAAAATGTGAAAACAAAGTATAATAATGATATTTTATCTTATTTTCAAGGAAAAAAATTTAGTGCTATTTGTAGACGGTTGCAGGATTGTGGCGATTTACATTGCGCAATGTGGCGCGGTTTTATATCATAGCCATCTTGAAAAATGCTGTTTTTAGTATTTTACCATTATAGTAAAGTATTAGAAATTTTAAAAAAATAAATATCTTAAAAATAATGGATTAATTTTTGGTTGAAAACGTGTTTTTAAGATGGCTGGCAAAGTAAATAATACATTTATAAGAGTATAAAATGCAAAGTAAGGTTAAATTATTCTTTCATATAATAGAAAAAAACCGCTATAAAAACATTCCGCCAACATTTAATGGATTAAAATATTGCTTAAAATTGAATATCGAATTAAAACATCATACCAAGTTTAAAGAAAAAATATTGCTAGAATTTAAAATAAGTTTTATAGATTTAATTATTTAACATTAAAAACATATGTGGCAATATCTCAGGAATTTTGAACTTTTGTATAATTTTTTAATAAAAGTTGAAGTTACAATTATAAAGTAAAAGAAATTATGTATTACATTTAAAATATTTACCTGTCGTATTGTTAGTACCAGAAAAAAAACGATTTCATCTGTGATCCACATTCTCAGCACTTCATTGGAGAAGCAATAGCGAGGTTTTCTCCAAAAATGTAAATAAATTTCCTCTGACTCTCTTAACATTTATAAATAAATATTTGATTAGGAAAGCCAGGTTGGCCAAAATAAGTCTCAAAGGGTAATTTTTTTATTCCGGGATACCATAATTCTTGTAATACCAATAACACATTCCTCTTCGAAACGGACATATCCATTCCATTTGAAATCAAAGAATTCGAAGAGATTGAATAATAAATTTTAAAAGGCGCAGTAATGACAATATTTCAGTAACCATAAGGGAGCTGATTACATTACGCATAGAATTAAAAATTTAAATAACATTCATAATAAAATCATTTTTAAAACAAATCAAATTAAATGTATTTTAAATATTTTAACAGCCATAAATTATTAAAACTAGATTAAAATTTAAGATTAATAAAACCAATTAGTTTTAAGTAAGGTGATGTCATTGATTAAATCATCACAACATAAAATTATATAAAATATTATAAACAACAAAATTTTTATTTCAAATAAAAACAAAATTAAATTGATTTTTTAATATTTAGAAGCAATAAAAATATTAAAACACGGAATTATGCATAATAAAACGCATTATTTTACCAAACAATAGGTTTACCATAAGCGTATTACTCGGCAAAAGAAAATTGCCAAAATCCCTGCAACATCTACAAAGTAGCACCAAAAATTACAATGAAATAGCTATATCCCTTAATACAAATATTAATACCTAATAAAAAAATTAACCAACTTTCCATTGAAGAAAAAAAAATCATGCAAACTTTCAATATCTTACAAAATAAATAAGCAAAAAATAGCATGAAAGAAACTCAAAACAAAATTCCACGCAGAATTTTACTCTGCAGAACAACTTATAAAAAGCATCAATAAAAGTAATTATATATAAAAAATGGCAATGAAATATGCCAATCTCTTAAAAAAAGTGACGATGAAAAATTGTTGCCAAACCCAGATTTCTAAAAGAATGAAATTATCAAAAATGATGAGATTTCATCAACAACAATAAGAAAGGAAAATTGTTGCCAAAATTACATTTGTAAAGATGTGAGATGTGAGAAGTGTACTTGGAAGCTTCATTTAATTTTTTTTTTTTAAATGCAAAATATTATCCTTTTTCCAAAATTCTTTTTGTATAAGCAGTCGCAAGGATGAAAGTTTAACGCATCCAAAAATCGGAGAAAAATAAACTATACATTTTTAAACATAAACGTTTTTAGAAAAAATCCCGTTGAAAAGGTGTTAAGCTCACTTTGTTAAATAAATTCGTATTTAATCGATTTATTGAAACATGAAATTTATTTTAAGTTTGTAAAATAGCTAAGTGCCTACATTTCATGACGATGTGAAAATGGAGTGTGTAGAGTAAAATCTCGCTTTCCTATTGCCCATTATGTCTCAAAATGATGCGATTTTGTCACGAAACATAAAATTAAAAAAAATTCTAATTCGAATTTCGAAAAAATCGCTTCGAGGTGCACTGGCTCTTGTCTAGATGCACCTATGTACCAAATTCTGTAGCTGTGGGTCTATTAGCTTACGCGCAACGCGAACGAAAGACACATGCACACAAAGACAGACTCTTTGTTTTATTATATGTAGAGATTATGTTAAAGCGCTCTAAAGCAGGGCTTCCATCAAATCCAGAAGAAACATAGTTTTCATCATATGGTATAACAACACAAATAAGATACTACTTAACATGCATAACTATCTTTCATTTTAAATGTATTCAGACTTTTCCATTTAGTTCCCTATATATAGTTATTATTAGTTTTCTATTTATGATTATCTCCTAGGTGAAAATATATTGCTAGTTGAAATAAGGGGATGTTAAAACCTAACAGGACTGTGATAAAACTTTTAAAACTTGTAAAGAAGTTTAAAATTTGTATTGGTATGCCTCAAACACTTAGATTTTAAGATAAAATAAAAAAAAAATAAAAAATAAAAAGGGGAAAAAGAATGATACATACATAAAAATCTTCAGCTGCAAAAGATAGAATGCGAATGAATAATCTTATATGTAAAAAAAGTAAGTAAATTACTGCTGATTACTTTGTAAAATGATGGCTTTTCAAAGGGTTTGACTTTTCTTTTTCTTTTTCTTTTTTTTTTTTTTTTTTTTTTTTTCTTTTTTTTTTTTTTTTTTATTAGCACCGCCCTAAAAATTCCTCAATAATTTGGGCATGATCGCTTTTCATCTCCTCCCTATATTTGAATGAACTTAGTTCATCGTGAAAACTTAGATATAAAATTTGGAAATAAATTAATATTATTCAAACATGAAGGTAATTAATTCTCTAATGTGATCTAAAAAGAATGTATATACAAAAAGATTGTTATAAAAACTGATAGGGAATTTAAAGGAATCAATTAAAAATTAGCAATGCATATAAAAAACTTAAGAATACGATACAATTAAAACCATTAAATATAATATATATATAACTATCTCCATTCTCATCTAGAATAGTGGTTTTTAATCTTTTTGCCCTACACACCTCTTTCACCATTGCTAAATGGTCATTCCCTCCACCCCCTTTACAAAACTAAAAAAATACATGTACATTTATTTAAATTTAGATTGTCTTTTAATGTGTTTCATAAATTCAGCAAGAAAATGTATAGAAGAGTTGATAAATACCAAAACCTGACTTAAAGATAATATTTAAATTCAGCAAGAAAATGTATAGAAGAGTTGATAAATACCAAAACCTGACTTAAAGATAATATTTTATATCCATTAACTAAACCTAAATACTTCACAGGAGAACAAAAGGCTGACTGGATTCTACCTCTGAAACTATGAAATTCTTCTTGGGGGGGGGACGTCGCGGCTCGCAATGAACTGGAAGTTGATCTGTCAGCACTATCCTTATCTTCAGGGCAGATGTTTTTATTTTATTCGGCTTATAATTCCTTTCTAAATGTAGTATTTCATCTCCATGTACTCCGTCTTTGATATGATTTAAATCAAATTCCTCGTCATTATAAATATCACGAATACAAATCAAATAGTTTTCTGGTTGCAATTTTCTAATTTCGGCTATGCTTAATGTATGCTATACGCATGCACGCGTTGAAAGAAATGTTTAATAAAGTAAACAAATAAATGTTAAGCTTTTTTTTTTTTTTTTTTTTTTTTTTTTAATTTTGATACCCGTTAGATCATAATTGCTCATTATTTTATAAATTACTGTTGCACGAGGTTGCGGCTGTGTGCAACAACAAACTATCCGTATTGGAATTTGCCAGTGCTTTTAAGGATGAATTCTTAACATGTCATAAGAGCCAATATTTTGATAACAAAAAATTTTAATCACATCACAATATTAAAACTTAATTACTACAGTCGACAGACAATCACGTTGAAGGAAAACGAGCGACCAACCGCACCGACGACGCGTGACTGTGTGTCGCTGAAAACACCTTCGGTTACAGTTAGTGATAACGGCGCACGGTTGGCGAGTACAACACATGTTTACAGAGTCGCCACAATTACGGTTTCATATTTTTAATTTTATAATTTCTGCATGCCATCTTACCAGATTTAAACTGATGATCTATAATCCGGAATCGCCGAAGTCCCGACGAGTCCGGATTAAAGACTTTTGACTGTATTAATATTCTTGAGGAATAAGCTTGCTTTGACTCCAGTTTACTTTAGAATATTAAAGTCTATTTTACTTCAATCCTGCAGCTATAGCACAGGATGGGTATAAAAATTTGCTTTTAGCCTCTTGTTATGTTTCTTTTTGTATATACTATATTATTTTGTGTTTTATTTATTTTAAAGAAAAGAAATTTACAGTGAAAAAAATGTTAAATTAAACAAATTATGTTGTAGACTCAATAAGATATTAGTCCCTGAGCATATAAAGACCATTTAGTTTTGATAATAAAATGTGGTGAGAATTATCAGAATATGGTGTAGACACATGAAAAATGTAGTGTTGAATGGCAAAATTATTTTTGGTCAATTGTTTCAATGGAATATTGTCAAGACCTTCCTTGTGTTCTGTAATTTAAATTAAAATTCAAGTTTTTGTCTGTGTATTACTATGATCATCCTGAAGTTGTATAGAATCAGTAGGAATTTATTCTTGCCTAATTTATTTTTTCTAGGTGGTGCAGGCTTAGGAAAATCTACTTTAATCAACTCCATGTTCCTCACAGATATTTATTCTAATGAATATCCAGGTCCATCTCTGAGAGCCAAAAAGACAGTACAAGTATGAAAAAAAAATACATTTGCTCATTGTACTTTTATTTTATATTTACTCATTGTGTTTATTTATCTCTCAGATATACTTCATATGATATCATTAATCTGATAATTAGATTATTTAAAAGTATCATTGATAATGATACAAATGAATGATGAATTTCATCAGATTCACTACTTGCTGAACAGTCGTTAAAATTCTTTAGCCAGAAATATAGAATTTATTGCATAATAAAAATATGCATTTCATTATTTTAAAACAAAATAGAAAATTTTTTGGCTCCCAAATTTAAATTTTGGATCTCATGAAAATTCTGAGCACTCGTCTCAAATTCTTTGAGTGTTTTATAATATTTATAATTAGAAAAGGATAACTGGTGATAATATAAAGTACTGGATTTGTAAAATTGAAATTTTTCTTGTTCCTTGTTTGTAATTGATATTTTGAGTGACATTCAGATTAAAAGAATTATATTACAGTACAAAATCCGTAATCAGGACTCGTTGGGACTTCGGTGATTCCGGATTATGGGTCATCAATTTAAATCTGGTAAGATGACATGCAGAAATTATACAATTAAAAATATGAAACCGTAATTTATGAAATAAAGAACAATTATGATCTAAAGGGAACCAAATAAATAAATAAAAAAAAAAAAAAAAACTTAATATTTATTTGTTTACTTTATCAAACATTTCTTTCAATGTTAGTTGTTTTGTTTTTTGTGCTAATACTTTATTTTTAATTCTATAAACAAACGTTATTTCTTGTTCAGTTACAAAGTTCCACTGTTCAAGATCTGTAATTGCTGTGTCGAGATTACTGACTAACTTCTGAATCGAAATTTTTTCATTTTCAATAAACTGTCTGTCACTTTCTTCACTATCGGAAGCAGCATTTTCTGGATCTAGAACCATACTACAGATTTTGCCGTCCGTTAATTGATTGATGATTGGGGCATTGTCTTCTGGCTCAATCATCAATCTTCATCAAAATCATCAGTCAATCATCAAAAACTTCTGTTATATCATCTTCATTTATTACCGCTTCTCCACATTTCTTTACAAAATCTAATTACTGAAAAATTTCACCTTTAGTTTGCGATGTCCGAAAACCTTCAAATTCGCGGCTATCATCTTCATCGTCCTCAACATGATATATGGTAGCTGGCCATAAATTATGCCAAGCATTTTTTAACATTTCTGGAGCCACATCCTTCCATGATCTTGCGATGCTCCACACAACAGATTTTATGTTAAAAAATTTCAAAAAGGCTTGTTCAAGAAATTTAACATAGATTTTAAAAATGCTACTTTATATTTGCATGTCAGCGCGTGCACTATTCCCATATCCATAGGCTGAATGATAGACATACAATTTGGAGGGAAGAATAATATGGATACATTATCTTTCATTAAAACTTTAAGTGAAGTATGCGCTGAACAGTTGTCAACAATCAGGACTATTTTTGAGTCATCAGGTAAACCAACCCAATTCAATTCAAGCCGAGCCTCAGGTATAAAATGATTTTCAAACCAATCATTCATCAATGCTTGTGTCATCCATGCTCTTTTATTTGCGCAATATATAATGGGAAAAATCGTTACCTTAAGTGCTCGAAGTCATGCATGATTTCCGATTACGAAAAGTTTGGACTTATGCGCTCCTGCAGCATTTGCGCACGCTAAAATTGTTAGTCTTGCTTTGGACACCAGTTGGAGCCTTTTCTGTAGAGGTTGCCAAGGTATTTCACGGTACATATTCATACGTACATACAGAAAAGACCAGTTTCATCAGCGTTGTAAATTTGTTCTGGAGATAATTGTTCACTAGTAATGAGTTCAATAAATTCATCTACAAATTGTTTAGCAGCTTCAGTATCAGCTGAAGCTTTTTCACCTGAAATTTTTAATGGTCTTATACCATGCCGATTTTTAAATTTGGTTAACCAACCTGTCGAATATGTGCACTCAGTTTAAGTTCAATTCTTCATGAAATATTTGGCTTGAGCCATTAGAATTGGACCCATCAATGGTACACTCTCTCTGCGATGCTGTCTGACCAATTCAATCTTCATTTTGTCATGATCATCACTTTTAGCATAACCCTTTTTCCGTTATTCATTGCAAGTGGGGTGTCAGACTCCACAAAAAAAAAAAAAAAAAAAAATATCAAAAAGTTCCTTTTTAATTTTGCTTATGTCATATACAGTAGACTTTCCAATGTCATACTCCTCGCATTTGCAGCAATTCCACTTTTTGTCTGATGGACATAGAAACATGCTTTTGCTTTGTAGATCCTTTGGCAGCTCCAGAATGGGAAACTCTTTTTGGCAAAATGGAAAGTTCAAGCTTAATTTTTATAAAATTGCTCTAACAGTCTGCAAAAAATAATAAGCCAGATCCAATTAGAAGATTAAGGAACAGCGCAGTCTGCAACATTAATTGAAATGCCTTAGAATCAGTAAAGATAATTTTAGCCTAGCTTATACCATCTGTTATACATTAAACGCACATGCATAAACGCATTACACGAATGCGTAAAGCATACAAAAAAAAGTTTTGAAGTCTGGATTATAGATCATTCCAGATAATGGACATCCGGATTACGGACTTTGTACTGTATTAGCTATAATAAAATAAGACACGTACATGGTAAAACTTTTATTATGTGTTTGAAAAAGTTTTTCATAAATTGTGCATTGCTTATTGATATCTTAATTTTAAAAGTAAAAATTAATGTAAAATTCCAGTGTGATTTTCAAGGTCTTAGGGGGAAAGTCTTTGGTGTGCTAATGGGAGACTCAATGTGGTAACTTGTGTTGTCTTCAGTTAGATTGCATATTACTTACTGTATACAGAACTGATACCGCATTTATTATAAATCTATGAGAAGCTCTATCAATGCATTAACGACAATTGACAACTAATTTTGAATGCATAGGAACAAATTATTTGTAAGTAAAAGTGTTCTCATTATGTGAGGATCTCTACTCAAGAGTCTCGGAACATTCTGTGATTTTGCTCTGTCTGAAACAGTTTGCAGACTGAATTAGTCATGCCCTTTTAATTTTTCAATTATGTTTTATGTCCTCTGATTTGTTTCGGGACACTCAGACTTGGGTTTATCTGAGCTAACGGATAGACATCTAAAATAGTCAACCCATCTCCAAAACTAGTTTTTGCCCATAAGGCAGCGAGTTGAAAAATCAGAACTGCACACATAGCGGAGCTAGTCGACACATGGAACTGACTCTGTTAGCTCAGATAAACTCCATTCTGAATGGCCCTTTATAGTTGAAATAATACCAGAAGAGCAACAGTATTATTTATCCATTAGCACTCTGAAATCAAAAGGTTTTAATGACAGGCACAGTGCATATTGCTAAAATCTCTTGGTTCTGGTTGTAAAATTATGACTCTTGTAATGTCAAGTAGAGGTATTACTAAATAACTTATTGTTTTTGCAATATCAGAGGATGTTGTCTCACACCTTGTAAAAGCCCAGATTGCAAAATATGTGAGGGTATCACACACACAAATTTGTTACCTTTGTGTGATCTGCTGCATACTATTATGGCTCCTTTCTTGAAATCTTCACACAAGAGCTCTTTAGTGACAGTGGTAGAGCATTTTACTCCCAGGATGTAAAGGATTTCCCAGTACTGTGCAAAGAATTTCCAATGAGGCGAATCATTTTAAATTGTTTGTCAGTATTATATTAGAATTAGGAATGTTCAGAAGCAAAGCTAAGCATTCTATAATTCCATGTGAAAATTTCATTTTTTCAGTTTCTGTGTAAGTTCTGTTATATGCTACAGTTGTATAAAAATCTCTTGAAGTAATTGTGCCAGATAAACAGGGAAAACTTTATTTTAAATGACATGAATTACAGCTTTTACAAAGTAAACAGGTATAAATATTCCAAGGGGTAAACTAGAGATAAGGTAAAATTTTCCTTAACACATAAAGAATATTGCAAATAACCAAAATCACTCCCAGAGCAACGTGTAAAGCTGTGATCACTGAGCTAAGAGCTCAAAAGTGTAAAAAAGACCAAAAGTCTCTATCCCCGGGCTCACAGCCATCCAGAACCCACAGCCAGTTTACAGGATTGCTCCAGGAGTAATCACATATAAAAACTGAGAAAAAATGTTCCTAGGGGTTTAGAATGCATTTTGCAGAAACTTCCAGAATGTTGCCATTTTTGTGAAAAATTACCATATGTCACTGATGCTCTTTAGGGGGATATCTGATATCACATCTAATTTTATATAAGCTATTTTTGCAATAACAATGTCAATCGACTTTGGATTAAAAGCTCCACAGTGAATACATGAAATAAATATTAGAAACTGACCAAACTTTATACAAAGACAATCAAGCACATCATAAATGATGTAATTTTCAAAGATATATAGCAACATGACACTTAGATTATATAGGGCAATAATATCATGTTTTATCTCCATTTGAGATAATACATTCCTGAACAAGTTCTGGTATTGTGCACCAACATCATTGTTGATGTCATCCTACAGTTTGTATTAGTTTCATGAAGGATAGGAGATATTCAACTGAAACCCAACCATGTCTCATAAATATTCAGCTTGTGAGAGATTGGGATATTAGGCTGGCCAATTCCACTTGCATATTTTACAATGCATTCAGGGTGAGCCGAACAGTATCCAAGGAAGACACATCTAGTTGAAAAATGATGTTTGGAATGCTCTGAAAATATGAACGAAAATGAGGCTTCATCATATCATCATCACTCTAGTGTCCCACTAATGTCGTCTGGAATGCACATCAGAAATGAATTACTGTTAGCATTAATTACACTCCAAACCATTATTCTGTATTGGTAGAGCATATATTACTCGAATAAAGGTAGCAATATTCACTCACTCAAAGACCATGTCCCCTCCACACCCTGGCACAGTCATCACAATTTATGAGGCAGAAGTGAAATTTATCAAGACTACACTGTTTAACTTTTAGCACTCCATGCAATCTTGCTGTAACAACATTCCAAATGTTTTTCACAATGGTTTAGAATAGGGGTTTAGAATGCATTTTGCAGAAACTTCCAGAATGTTGCCATTTTTGTGAAAAATTACCATATGTCACTGATGCTCTTAAGGGGGATATCTGATATCACATCTAATTTTATATAAGCTATTTTTGCAATAACAATGTCAATCGACTTTGGATTAAAAGCTCCACAGTGAATACATGAAATAAATATTAGAAACTGACCAAACTTTATACAAGACAATCAGCACATCATAAATGATGTAATTTTCAAAGATATTAGCAACATGACACTTAGATTAATAGGGCAATAATATCATGTTTTATCTCTTTGAGATATACATTCCTGAACAAGTTCTGGTATTGTGCACAACATCATTGTTTGTCATCCTACAGTTTGTATTAGTTTCATGAAGGATAGAGATATTCACTGAAACCCAACCATGTCTCATAAATATCAGCTTGTGAGGATTGGGATATTAGGTGGCCAATCCACTTGCATATTTACAATGCATTCAGGGTGAGCCGAACAGTAGCCAGGAAGACACATCTAGTTGAAAAATGATGTTTGGAATGCTTGAAAATATGAACGAAAATGAGGCTTCATCATATCATCATCACTCTAGTGTCCCACTAATGTCGTCTGGAATGCACATCAGAAATGAATTACTGTTAGCATTAATTACACTCCAAACCATTATTCTGTATTGGTAGAGCATATGTTACTCGAATAAAGGTAGCAATATTCACTCACTCAAAGACCATGTCCCCTCCACACCCTGGCACAGTCATCACAATTTATGAGGCAGAAGTGAAATTTATCAAGACTACACTGTTTAACTTTTAGCACTCCATGCAATCTTGCTGTAACAACATTCCAAATGTTTTTCACAATGGTTTAGAATAGGGGTTTAGAATGCATTTTGCAGAAACTTCCAGAATGTTGCCATTTTTGTGAAAAATTACCATATGTCACTGATGCTCTTTAGGGGGATATCTGATATCACATCTAATTTTATATAAGCTATTTTTGCATACATGTCAATCGACTTTGGATTAAAGCTCCACAGTGAATAAGAATAATATAGAAACTGACCAAACTTATACAAGACAATCAGCACATCATAAATGATGTAATTTTCAAAGTTATATAGCAACTGACTTAGATTATTAGGGCAATAATATCATGTTTTATCCATTTGAGATAATACATTCCTGAACAAGTTGTGGTATGTGCACCAACATCATTGTTGATGTCATCCTACAGTTTGTATTAGTTTCATGAAGGATAGGAGATATTCAACTGAAACCCAACCATGTCTCATAAATATTCAGCTTGTGAGAGATTGGGATATTAGGCTGGCCAATTCCACTTGCATATTTTACAATGCATTCAGGGTGAGCCGAACAGTATCCAAGGAAGACACATCTAGTTGAAAAATGATGTTTGGAATGCTCTGAAAATATGAACGAAAATGAGGCTTCATCATATCATCATCACTCTAGTGTCCCACTAATGTGTCTGGAATCACATCAGAAATGAATTACTGTAGCATTAATTACACTCCAAAACCATTATTCTGTATGGTAGAGCATATGTTACTCGATAAAGGTAGCATATTCACTCACTCAAGACCATGTCCCTCCACCCCTGGCACAGTCATCACAATTTATGAGGCAGAAGTGAAATTTATCAAGACTACACTGTTTAACTTTTAGCACTCCATGCAATCTTGCTGTAACAACATTCCAAATGTTTTTCACAATGGCTGACTGTTAATGGATGGCCAAAAGGCTTTGCAAAGGGTAGCTGGGTACCTAATTTGCATAAGTCATTCAAATCCAGATTGTCCATATTGATATTTGAGTTTTGAAACATCCTGTATACTTTACAAAATGTCTCCAGTTGTGAACTATGGCTCAGGTATGTGACCTTATTTGCAGTGATTATTATGCTCTGATTTACATCTCCTTACTTTGGACCTCCTGTGTCACTGCACATTTCCTTCATTGGTTTATAATTGTGAAATCTGACCATCAGTATAACAATGTGTCAACTTTCATTTCATGTGCAGTTCAATAAATAAAAGGCAACAAATGTAGTGGAAGCTTATTATCTGTTTTGCTGATGCTATGTACAATGATATTTTAAAAACATTGCTTTGTTTTTGTCATTCACCGAACTCAGAAACAGCTGAAAAACTTGTTTGTCACAGGAATCATGTCACCAAAATGAATAGCTTTACATGTTGTTTGGATGTTTATATCCTGTGTACTAATCACCTGATTCTTTTACAAATGTAATTATTGGTATAACTTGTCCATGTGTGCCCATTATGTGGCCTGGCTGGATATGACTGGAAACCACCTCCACAATTGCCGTGATACTTTGCATCTAGCTGTAATTCTGCAAAAGTTGTTAATTTTTTGCTTATTTTAAGTGTTTATTCAGCTGCCAAACAGAGATCAATGATTGAAGGCAGAAAAGCTAAGGTCTGAGGTAGGATTTAATAAAAGAAGTGAAAAAGAAGAAAAGAAATTTGCATAGCGAATGGTGGAACATTTTCTCTCTGAGTCAATGTACATGTAAAGACAAAGTGTTAATCATCATACATAATGCATCAAACACATAAATCAGTAAGTAAAACAACGTATAAATTACATTAATATGAATTTTTTCTAAAAAAAAATTCTACGAGTGCATAAGAAAAATACTGAAAAATTGCAGCAATGGAAGTTTCTAATGAAACACATATGCTTATAAAGAAGTGATGAGAAATATGCATTCCAAATATTAATGTTTAAATTTTAAAATTAATGTTTTAGTATTATCATTTTAAAATGTAAATATATTTTTGATTCTTTTGCATTATCTGCCGAGTGGTGAGAGAAATCTCCAGGCAAAGCACTATGTTGCCAAGCTAGGCAACCCAGAATATAACGAATGTGTATTTTATCTGACAACCCACTAAATGTTGCATGCATATTGCACGGGCATGTAAACAACGCTGTTTTGGAATTCCCCTGAAGCAAACAATCGAATTGTATGAAAATGTTCTGTTAAAGATTGCCATCAAAGTATTTGAATGAGAGTAGGAAACTGGTTTGAGAATAATGAAATATCCTTTACTTCACTTTTAGTTGTTGACTTTATTTATTATTCGTCTAAAGACTATACATTTGGTATGTTTTGTCATTCTTAAGAGTTGTCATTATCTCGATATTATCTGAACACAACTGCTAATTAATGCAATTGCCTGTGAGAAGTGTGTGGTATGAAAAAAGAAGTGTGTCATAAATTTCGTTTTTCTGAATAAAAAGCGGTTCTCTGATCTTTTTTTAAGTTAAAACATGTCGATTTGTACATAGAGAACAGTGCCAGTTTGCTCTACAAAATAGAGAATTCTGCAATTCTCGGATATTTTTTGAAAGTTAAAATAGTGTGTGTACATGGAGAAGTGTTAGTTTTCTGTGCAGTTCTCAGATTTTTTTGTTTTTAAGTTAAAATAGGTTGCTGTGCACACTTACCAAGAAAATAAAAAAGTTAAGTGTTTTGTTGTGTTTTTAATTTAGTTAATTTTTTACTGTGCTATGAAATTTTGAGTGTTTTATTATGGATGCTTGTTTTATGCAAGTTTTACTGTTTAATTATTGATGTTTCTTGCATTTTAAATTTCGTTAAATCATTGCTGTTTCATGGAAGTTTCAGTGCACCACCATTTTTTAAAAATGGCTACTCTTTTTCGCACGCCAGGTTGGTGAAACAGTAGCCGCCAAAGATTGCCAACTTTACAGGAGTGCTGGCAGATAGCGCAAAAGTACCTTTTCTTAACTAAGAACATTTGAACTTAATATCTTACATCAAAATTTGGACAAAAAAAAATTAATTAGATATGTTCAAAGGGTAAATTTGATAAACTTTCTAGGTAAGAAAAATTTCATAGACACTGAATCCTATAATTTAATTTTAAAATATTTAAGTTTGCTTCTTGAATTGAATTGTCAATGCCAAAATGGGCTATCTTGATTCGTTTGTTTTGGATTTTTAGCTTTAACATGAAACAGTTTTGTGTTTTGGACCTAAAGGCATATGTTCCATATGCTGTTAATTCTCTTTGCCATGATTACTCAGCTGAGTGACCAATTCTAATGTATGTGTGATATTTTATAATGGTCTATGTTATTTCTTTTCTTTTTTCCCTGTAAAAGCCTAGAGATAAAAATATTTGTTAATATTAAGATATGTCATATATACAAATTATATAGCTGTATATTTGATGATTTTTTTCTAAATAAAGATGATGTGATAAAATCTTTCTGTTTTTTAGGTAGAAACAACTAAAGTATTATTAAAAGAAAATAGTGTTAATTTGCATTTAACAATAGTTGATACGCCTGGTTTTGGGGATGCTGTTGACAATTCAGAATGGTGAGTTTAAATTGTTAGTATTTTGAATCGCTTAATCAATAATGTGATTTGAGTCAGTATGAAGTTATCAAAGCAATTTTAAAAAGTATCTAGTAGAGGCAAATGTAACATTTTTTTCTTTCTTCCTACATCACCAATTTTATTGTGATGTATGGTCATTTTTGTATTTTTCATGTGATATGTTTTAAGTATTTATTTGGCGGTTTATAATTCAAATAAAGGTCTCCATTTTCTTTAAATTATTTTTATGATTGTATTGAGATATACATTTAAAATATTTCATAATTAATGCCTTAAAATATTTTAACCCTTTCCAACACATTTATTATTTGTTCAGACACATTGGGCATAGGATCACAAAAAAGTTAAGAAAATGTACAGTGTATTTATGTATGAATAACATATTATAGGTTGTACTTCATGTTCAGAAAAGTTAAAAATTGAAAGAAGTATTTATATATATATTTATTAAAAACTTATAACATTATCATATTTTCTTAAACACAAGTTACTGAATATTTCTATGCTTTATTCTAATTATGATATATCCCTACACTCGTACATAAATTAATTGTTTGCCAAATAAAAAACAAAATATATTTAAGCCAAATGTTAGTTTTTCCCCATGAAATGTTAACAATTCTGAAATATAGTTGACAAAAATTTGTGCATCAACAAGCCTTATGTGTATGCCAACAACACTTTTTCCAGCATCTTTAAGCAAGGTTTGGTTTATTAGATTACGGCAAAGCACTCGAGGGCTATCTGCCTTAAGGGAGGGATGCCTTCGTGGAGGACATTTTAAGGGAAACTGGCTCGTATACACTTTACACATGGGGAAAACCACAAAGACACACATGCAGCCAGCCCGTTCGCGGGATTCGAACCTTGGACCGAACTACCAGCGTTCAGCGTCTTTACCGCTCGGCCGCTGGTGGGCCCCATCTTTAAGCAAGAATTCTAGGCTTATTCCGATATTTTTTGGCTTATTTTGAAATTATAATAAAAACAGTATTTTCTTATAGCATTTTCACCAGCTTCAGATTTGGAGAACAAACCCTTGGCTTGTTAAATGATAAAGGAAACCTTTGATGATTTCTGTAAACGCAACCTATTAATTTTATTTAAAATGTATTTTCCTGATTGGCAACAACAGTTTTTTTAGAAAGGTAATAATTTGAACTGTAATGTTTTTGAGCAGTAATATTAATGTTTCTGAATAAAGCAAGTATCTAACAATTAATGTTTGAACGGTAATGTTTGACGGAATGTGTTTTTAATAAAGGAACTAATTAATTGCTAACATTTCAGAAGTGATAAACTAGAATTATTATCTAGATTTAACAACATATTGCCTTAATGTACGCTAAGCCTAAACTGAATGCGGAAGCTCGCCAAAACTGAAAGTAGAAAGGTACGTGAATTTATAAACTGTTTATCTTATGTATAAGTATTAAACGGAAAGAACTTAAGTATCATTATTGTATTATTAGTTGAAAATTGAAGTCTAAGATGGCTTATATGGCAAGAGGCAAGAAATGTGACTTAAAAGAACTTGCTTTGGAACTTGATGTAGATGTCCCTTCTGATATTAAAATTGTATGCTTAAGAGATATGATTTTCAATAGTAAGAACTATAATGAAGATTTTACTAAACAAATAATAGATAGAATTATAAATGATCGTTTAGACAGGGAAAAGTTAGAAATTTTAGAAAAAAAAGCAAAGAGCATTTGAAATGGAAATTTATAGAAAAAGATAAGCAAAGAGCATTTGAAATGGAAATTATAGAAAAGATAAGCAAAGAACATTTGAACTCGAAAAATTGAAAATAGAAGCGGAAATCAGAAAGCAGTAATGTAAATGATTCTATTGCCTTCTAATGTTAGTAAGAAGTAATTATTTGTGATATGAGTAAATTAATGCATACGTATGATTTGAACGAAGGTGATACATATGTTTTTATTAAGATGAAAGATTAAGATTTATTAAAAATGAAGGTGATATACAGTTTAACGACGTATTGGGTTAGAAGAACAAAACTGGGTTTCTTCAGCTGTTGGGTCTATTGCCTTATGAAATAACTCAATTATTGCCCGTGAATCAGAAGAGAAAGCTAACGACTATAAGCACGTTAAACAAGTGCTACTGAGAAAATTTAAGTTAAGCCCTGAACAGTTTCGGCAAAAGTTCGTTGATCATATTAAAACGTTGCGTAATATGTGGAAGGACTTCACGTTTGAATTAAAAAATTATTTTGAAGAGTGTCTTGCTGGATTAAATGTAACAGATTTTTGACTCTTTAAAACAACTTATTATTACGGATCAATTAAAGAAAAGGGTCCCCGCTGCTATCCGAGACCCTTTCATTGATGATTGGTCTAAATTCATTAGTCCTGAAGAGTTGGCTGAAAAACTAGATGAATATGAAAATATTCGGGCAGGGTTAAAAGTACTTCAAGAAGAAAATAAAACTTTTAGACATAATTCTAAGCCTAAATTTGGTTCTAAATTTTATGAAGGATCCTATAATCAGTATTCAAGACACAGAAATGTTAACGATTCCATGCAGACAGATGGTAACTTCGAAGTGGGTTTTAAAAACAGTTTTGATAATAAATACAATCTGAGAGATAAATTTTCTAAAACAGACAAAAGGAAAAGGGAATATAATTCTGGCATCTGCAATGAAATGGCTGAGCTGAAATGCTTCAATTGTGATGATTATTGACATACAGCGACGGATTGTCCTCAACCTAAAAAAGAAATTATTTTCAGGAAATGTAATGAAAACGGTCATACTTTGAAAAAGTGTACGTTTAAGAATCCAGGCTTGACAAATGTTAAAAATAATTTATCCTGTGGACCAGAATTCAGGTGTTTCACCAACTGGCTGTATATTTAAAGTATGCTTGCATCAATAATGGAGAAGAAATTACTGCAATCATAGATACGCGTTCTAGTTCCTGTTTATTGAAACAGTCTGTGGCTAAGAGACTGAATCTTATTATAAAACCTGATGTGGAGGAATTGTTTGGCTTTGGGAACCAGAGTAAACCAGCTGCTAGAACATTGGGAAAAGTAACTGTTAACTTAGAGATTAATAATGTGGAAGGAAAAGACATTACAGTTCTAAATGTAGGAGATGAAACGCAACCATGCGAAGTAGTAGTTGGTCGAACATGGATTGATTTTCCACATATTGCATACGCGAAGATAGGTAAATACCTTGCACATACGCTATGCTAATGACTGCCCATTTTCACAGTTGCAAAAGTGATAGCAACACTCCGCGAATTAAACTGAAGGCTTCCTCCCAAGAAACTCAAATCGAAAGTAATACGTTAATTTCGTGAAAGTTCAAACTGATGAAATAAATAACGGTAATAATGTTTTAATAAGTGGATCGGAAGATGAGTTGGGCTCATTATTGGAAATAATACAGGGAGAAACAGTGATACCAGTCACTAACTACAACGATGAAAAGGCAGCAACTCTGGACTATGATGGAAAGTTTGAAAATACAAATACTGTAAAAGTAACTAATTCCAAAGGTAGAAAATCACTCAAAAAGAAAGGGACTTCAAAGAAAACCGTTAAACAGAATACAAGTGAAGAAAATAAATATCCTAAAGAAGAAACTAGAAGTGATGATAACAATAATATTAAAGAATGTAAGTCTATTCAAGAAAAGAATTATAATCAAAAGCTTAAGAAATATAGTAAGAATTGTAAAATTACAACACTTGAGAAAGAGTTTAATACAGGGAAAGAAAAAAGTTTACAAAAAGAAATAGATAATTTTGCTGGTGAAGAAACAAAATTAATAGTGTGTGTACATGGAGAAGTGTTAGTTTTCTGTGCAGTTCTCAGATTTTTTTGTTTTTAAGTTAAAATAGGTTGCTGTGCACACTTACCAAGAAAATAAAAAAGTTAAGTGTTTTGTTGTGTTTTTAATTTAGTTAATTTTTTACTGTGTTAAGAAATTTTGAGTGTTTTATTATGGATGCTTGTTTTATGCAAGTTTTACTTAAGCAAGTTTTACTTAAGTTTATGTATAAAGAAAAATAAGTTTGTTGAGAAACGAAACAAAAGACAACCAGAGAAAGATATTGCAAAAGGAAATAAACCTCGGGAAGATGTTAATCCATCTGTAAAGCAATCTAAGATAAATGAGGGAATAGATAGATCTCCTAAGAAAGCAATTACCAGTAAAAGAGAGCATCTAAAAAGGAAGAAGTTAAAGAAGAGAATTGAAGATATGCAGATGAAAATGAATGCAAATTATGACAAGAAGAAAAGCAATTCTTTAACATTCGAACCGGGAGAAATAGTAGTTATGAGAAGAGTACCTAAATCAACTGGAGAATTAACCAAAACACAACAAAAGTATTGAGGACCTTTGGTAGTTACAGAAGTTTTACCAAGTGATACCTATAGAGTGACTCAATTAGAAGAGAAGGTGAAAGGACATTTCTTTAGTCCGACAGCTCATGTGAGCCAATTAAAGTCATGACAGTGTCAAGCTGAATCAGAAGAGACGATGATGGTGATGACATTAGTTGTTACTGGGGATAACGATAACAACACGCCGCATATTACTAAAACTAGGACACGGAAAAAAGAATAGAAAACGACAGTGAATCTATATGACAGCTAAAGACTTTTGAACTATAAACATTAATATTACAGATTTAATTTTTTTAAATATAAGTTCTTAATGTTCCAAGGTCGTAACTAAGTCAGGATGCCCGAATGTAAACACAACCTATTAATTTTATTTAAAATGTATTTTCCTGATTGGCAACAACAGTTTTTTTAGAAAGGTAATAATTTGAACTGTAATGTTTTTGAGCAGTAGTTTTGACGGTAATGTTTGTGAATAAAGCAAGTATCTAACAATTAATGTTTGAACGGTAATATTTGACAGAATGTGTTTTTAATAAAGGAACTAATTAATTGCTAACATTTCTTATTTTTTATTCATCTTCAGAAAACAG